GTAGGAACAGCACTGACACAGCAGCACCAGGAGAAAGGATTTGGGATGGCTGCTGGAACCACTGGCTGTGCTTCAGTCTCATGCCTCGTGCCTGGGTGCAGCCCTTGGCCCAGAGATCATATCCCATGGTCAGAGCTCCCCTCACAATCTCCCCACATCAGTGACAGCTTCCCCTCACATGTCCAGGGACACAGATCTTATCAGGAGGAGGTGGCCACATCACCCCCTTCCTCTGCCACTCTCCAACATCATCCCACCATGCAAGGGCTTCTGCCTTTCACTGCGTGTGCCAGGTGATCCATCCATCAATGCAGAAGGGGATATAAATCATTCCCACCGATGGAGGATGGCAGAGGGGTGAGAGAGATGACCCAGAGACCTTCAGGAGTAAGAAATCACTAGTGTGCAGACATGCCACAGCACAAGTTTCTCAGTATCTCTAGTGACATGTAAATCATACTCCAAGACTTCTTCCAACTTCCTTCTGGGAGTAACTTGCAGGAGTTGCACCTTCTTCCATCTCCCTCTCATGGATGGATGCTGAGCCTAAGTTCTCTCCTTGTTTCAAGTCTTCCTCTATCTCCAAATCCTGAAGCTCCAGGCTGGACCCCCTGGAGAGCACATGGACCTTGTGCATTAACACATCCATCAGTTCTGGGGATGACAAGCACAGGATATAGCTCCAAAGGAGATGGAAAACACATGAAAGATGGGCCGAAGACAAATGCCAGTTCCCGTGCTGTGAAAGGCTGAGGTTGTGTGGCAAGAACCACTTGGAGATAAGAGCGCTTTGGCAGCATCATGTACCCCTCAAACCTAATCTCTGAGGAGACACATGCCAGCAGGGGTGATGAGGCTGATGATTTGGATTAGACAGGATGGGATTAGAGGCTGTGGGCAAAGCCCTCATGCAGTCCCGTGTCTGGGCACTGGTGATTTCCCACAGCAAGTGGACACAAGGACAGTGCTCATCCCCATGGCTGCTGCTCAGGGGCTCTGCTGGCATCTAAGGAGGTCTGGAATTTCTGAGGGGTTCAGAAAACCCAGTAACAGCTGAACAGATCATAGTGAAGTACCCCTTCCATGGACAGGATCTGCCCTCACCAGAGGAGGGTTTTGATCCAGGATTCCCAGCACCTGAAGGGACATAATATTATCTGTCTGTCCTCTTATTTTCATTGCTTTAGATCCAGTAAATGATTAAAATTCAAAAGTCTGAGTGCTGCAGTAATGGGATCATAAAGATGAGCAGCCCTCATGAAGAACTGGAGGGAGGAGAGGAAGGCTATGACATGGCCACCTCCTCCTGATAAGATCTGTGTCCCTGGACATGTGAGGGGAAGCTGTCACTGATGTGGGGAGATTGTGAGGGGAGCTCTGACCATGGNTGGGAGACAGCAGAAGAGCCACTGTATTTGTTCTCATCAGACCATAAAAAAGATGTTAAACCCCTTTTTTTCACCCCCAAGATTCTCAATCAGATCTCAGTACCACTGGGAAGGAAATAATAACTTAACTCATGGAGTGGTGTGGAAAAGTTATCAGAGCCACAGCTCCCATGTCCAGTGAGGACAAGATAATCTGTGGTTTCTTACATGTGGTTCTTGCAGTTTCTGAGGGAGAAGTTGAGGGCTCTGCCAAACCAACATGTTTATCTGTTACTGTACATGGAACCAAGGAGAACCACATCAAATGGCACTTCATTAAAACAGAAATCACTCATTAATATAAAAAACTACCAATTGTTCTCATGGAATCACAGAATTCCAGAGGGGTTTGGGCTGGAAGGGACCTTAAAGATCATCCAGTTCCAGCCCCCTGCAATGGGCAGAGACACCTTCCACTATCCAAGTTTGCTCCAGCCTGGCTGGATCCCCACAGATCTCCACAGATCTCCACAGATGGGGCAGGCACAGTTTCTCTAGTAAACCTGTGCCAGAGCCTCACCACCCTCACAATGAAGAATTTATTCCCAGTATCCCATCTAAACCCACACTCTGTCAGTGTGAAGCCTTCACCCTTTATCCTGTTACTCCAGGCTCTTGGTCCCTCCCAAACCAATTTATTTTGAGGTTCCATGAGATCAAGTTCTAGCTACAAAGCCTTGGAACAAACCAAGGAACCCCTCTAGAAAATTTGCCCTGGAGTTACCACCTCTCCTCTCTCTGCTCCCAGGTCCGAATCACCCATCATGAGACCCTCAACCACACCAATGATCCTTCCAACCACACCCATCCATGCTCCTGGGACCAACTACAGTGGGGCTGTGGGACCACCCCAGCTATCCTACGCTGTCCTCAAGTTCATGGAGAGCTTCTGCCTGCTGAGTGCTGCCTGTGGGATGGTGGGGAACGGCCTGGTCCTGTGGTACCTGGGCTTCCGCATCCGCAGGAACCACTTCACCGTCTACATCCTGAACCTGGCGGCCGCCGACTTCGGGTACCTGCTGTGCATCGCCGTGGAGACCGTNAGCCACGGGCCTGGGGACACTGTGGTGGAGGTGACAGCTCTGTGAGGCACTTCTGCACATGTGGCACCTCAGAGGCAGCCAGAAGTATTGGAGCACATGGCTCTGAGCTCCGTCCTGTTCCTGTATTCCCCTTGGAATGACCCTCATTGCCTTGGCCCCAAGGAATAAACTCTGATGTACTGATCTTTTTAATTTTGTTGCTACATTGAAATCAGGTTTGGATTTTTTCTTTTGTTTCTTTTCAATGTGGTAACTCCTGCCCCAGATTTTACTGAATAAACAACATCAGGGATTTGCTGCAGAGTTTGTCCCTGGGAATCAGCATCAGAAACTGTCTCATTTCCTTAGTTTTTCCCATTCTAAAGCCTCTGGATTTTCTGTGAGGAGAGCAGGTACCTGTCTCACACCAGAGTTCTTCCTAAGGCTAATGCCTGCAATGTCTGCAATGAGCCATCTTTTGATAGTTCCAAGAGCACCTCATTCCTTCAAGGAAAAGTAGTTTGTGTCAGGTTCCTCATAGCAACCCTAATCCTGAAATCTTGTCTGTGAACAGGTTCAAATTGCCACCTTGCATTGCACAGGTGGATTTTTAGGACTCTGCAGGAATAAACCTGTGATTTCTGCTTCTAATCTAATTTTGCCACTTGTATACCACAATTTAAGTGGTACTTCTCCTGCACCAGGCAGTTTCCAAGAGGATTCATGCAATAATAAATTCTGTGAATGAGCTGAAGCCCAGGCACACAGCAGAGGGATGATTTAGGATGTCAGCAATGGCATTTCTTCTGGGAAGAGGCAAATCCATGCTGCTCTCTTGGCTTTAATCCTTAGAAAGTTGCAGGTTTCAACTGAGTCACCTTCTACACTCCCCTGGCAATCAGACAGCAGCCTACAGTGAATTCCAAGGAATTTCTAGAAAGGTGAGGTGAGATGATTCCTACCCAGGCTGACATGTGCCTCAGGGATCTGGGATGCTCCTCCTGGAAACTGGCATGTGTGGGGGCCCTGGGGTCAGAACTGCCACCTCTCTTTCTGCTGACACTGCATTTGTGTCCCCAGCTGTGGAATCTCACCAGGCCAGTCCAATCAAGGACAAACACTTCATGATCCAGGAGCTGGCAAAGCTCCAGGAGAGTTGGATGGACTTTGGACAAGGGCGTGGAGTGACAGGACAAGGGGGAATGGCTTCCCACTGACAGAGGGTGGGGTCAGATTGGATCTTGGGAAGAAATCCTTCCCTGTGAGGGTACTGAGGCCCTGGCACAGGATGCCCAGAGGGATGGGGTCAGGGAAAAACAAACACAAGGGATCCCATGTCCGAGGAGGAGGAGGATGAGTCTTAATGAAGGGCTGGAAAGGGGATCACAGCACCCCAAAATCTGGTCCCTGATAGCTTTCATTGCATCATCAGGGGTATTGGCAGTAATCAGGGTGGGCTCTAAGTGCTGCTGATGTGGCTGCAAGCAACTGAGTGCTGTCCTTCCTTTGGGCTCTGTAAGCCTGTGGAAGGATGACAAAAATGGGAATTCCTGTCTCAGTTGTGGCGCCTCGGGCCGAGCTTTTGGCAAAGATGTCAGAAATCTTCCCAGAATGGGAACTGTTTCTGAGAAGCAGCCAGGTTCTTCAACAGCACTGCCAGCACAGCCAGCACTCCAGTGCAACTAGTGCCACCAGTATCCCTCTGCTGCTGGAGGGACAGTGACCCTCAGGGAAGAGAAACAAGGAATGGTAGAAACCTGCTGTGAGAGGGAAGGCAGTCAGAGAATGGGACACT